CATTATAAAATCATTTTTATAATTATTTTATAAATTATTTTATTATGTTTTATTTCTATTATTTTATTATTTCCATTCTACGTGCCTTTACCGAAAGAACTAATTATTTTATAAATTATTTTATTATGTTTTATTTCTATTATTTTATTATTTCCATTCTACGTGACTTTACCGAAAGAACCAAGAAGATGAATCCCTGCAGTCACGAAAGCTTTAAATCGTAGTTCACAACACTGTACCTGGCAGCCCGAGTTTTATTCCTGTCCATTGCTAAGATTGGAGGATCGAGCATCTGATCCGGTCCTGTGACCCCCTTCCCTTCACCAACCCGGACTAACCAGCGAGGTGATGTTTGGTCAAAGAATCTCCACAGCATGGAGAGACTTTCATCCAGCAGATGATTTAAAAATGTATTACTTTATTATTTCGCCAGAGGCGATAACACACCCAAGTGGATGACCACTGTGAAAATGAGATCAGTTGAAGGCAGATTATCTCCCTGCTCAATCCAGCAGTGGAGCGGCACCGATCACCATTGGTGGCCATCAGCCAGCGGTGGAACTCCACATTTTCATGACATGGTCAGTCCCTCCAAAGGATGACCACCGTTACGTTTTTGTTGACGCTGAATAAAATGTGTTCTAGCCCCGGTTCTTTTCGACTGCCAGCCTCCCGGTGTCATCATAAAACACAATGAGGCGTTGGCTTTTTTCCTTGCAAGAAGAGAAAATGCCCTTGCAAGCGTTGTACTCCATAAACCCACACTTCCCGGGTGTTGAGTTTACTATTTAATGTACTGACTTTTCTTTGGCGCTCACTTTAATCAATTTAGAGCTCTGGATATATTCAACGTTCCAAAATTAAATTTGGGTAATTGTGGGTGAAATACTGCAGTCGCTGTTCACATGTTCTTCTTGATTGTCCTTGGCTCATTTGGGTAGTTCAGTACGTGTTATACATACCCTAAACCAATTTGAGTAGATGGAGGGGGGTAGGGGGACTTTAAATGTGTGCAAGGTGAGCTAAAGTGATTTATCGATCGTTTGAAATTACATTTTTTTGCACGAAATTGAAACTGTGAAATGAAATGAAAATGTTTTAATTTAAGGCTCCGCCTGCAAGGATGACGTTACATCATGCACTGTAACATTGTAAGAAAAATGATTAAAATAATAAACCCAAGCGAGCGCGAATGCCTCATAAAATACGTCATACGTAAATTTAATGCGGATATTATATCCAGGTGGTGGTGTGACCCATTGCCCAACTCCTAATCTGAACGTTTTTGTTCAATTCCTAGTGAATGGTCAGCTCAGCCCATTCTCTCTCTGGTATGAAATAAATGCCCGTTTTTGTCATACGTTGTGGTACTGGTGCCTGGTATAGAAATGTAGACTGTATACCATGGGCTTAGTACCATCATCTGCAATAGGTACAGCACAGCATTAAAATGAGCGTTGACTTTTTTATATAAACCTAAATGCACGTGTGAAAGGCAGCGATTATTCACAATCATATTGCTTAGACATGCGACGGTGCTTCGATTTATCGATTGAATTTGATTCTTACATTCATGATGAACACAGCGAATTGTACGATGTGAGGATATGTTATATTTGATTTTTGTATCCTGTATGTAATTGGTATACGTGACTTCTGCAACCGCTATGGGCACAACATTCACCGGAATGCAAAACAACCAAATTGATTCTTAACGGAATCAACACCCCTGAATTATGACAACTCATTGAATCACAAGATGGTGTTAATTATTACACTCTTAGCGCTGATAATTATTTAAAGAAAACGTATAGAACCTCAGACGAAATTTTTTGTTTAACTTTACATTTCTAGATACGTGTTTTATCTTTTGATATTTCGAGAAATTTGAGAAGAAAAAACACAGTAGTGTTGTTTTGTCGAGCTTAAACGAAAGGCAAAATGCGAGTTATATAACTTGCGTAACAATGGGTCAGCACGGCAAATTTGCTATCTGCTTGGCTTGAACGGGTTTCTTAGCAGCCTATTGTGCTCATCTCCAAGCTGGAGGTCATTCGTCTAAAGCCTCCATCAAATGTCCCTTTCATAAAATGATCACTCGGATCCCTTGCACGTACCTAGTTAGGTATACACCCGCTATACCTAACTACCTCCAGCCGTAACATATCCATCCTATTTCCCCATTGCTAGTTTAATGGTTAATTTGATCTATTTAAAGTAGAAGATGTGTCTCCCTGCTCAAACAAATATTGCGGCTGTACTGATCTCCACGATACTTGCAAGCCAGAGGTCACCCAGTTCACTCTCCTGGCACGACAGCTGAAACAATGGCGCGAGTTTCTGAAATTCTCTCGCATCTTTTCGATTTAAAGCTTTCGTGACTGCAGGGATTCATCTTCTTGGTTCTTTCGGTAAAGTCACGTAGAATGGAAATTATAAAATAATAAAAATAAAACATAATAATTCTCACGACTTTTCAGACTCTGTCTTCTCGACAGACCTGTTCTTCACTTGAGGACGGCTGCTTGCGTTGTGGCCGAAACGTCGTGAGAATTATTTTATTATGTTTTATTTTTATTATTTTATTCTCTCGCATCTGTCCACTCGGCAGTACAAATACGTACACTGAAGTTAGTCGCTCAGCTGCTTGCGTGCGTGCGTGCGTGTAAATTGTGGGTATCCCCACCTCTTCTAAGATATCTAGCCAGCATGGAAGAGGAGGCCGAATGGCCTTCAGAGAGTCTTTCTAGAGATTCCTCTGGTGCCGCGGTGGCAAGATGTTAACTACCTCGCCTGGTATGCAGGAGGTCGTAGGTTCGATCCCGACCCTCACGCCTGTATATTTGAGGTTTGCATGTTCTCCCTATGGTCGTGTGGATTTTTTTCTGGGTCCTCCCGTTAATCCCTCCATATTTAGAAATATGCCTTTAGATAATTTGGCTGCTATAAAATTCCACATGATAAGCCACTTCGTTGAGTGATCATTTGTAGCCAGGTCGCTTATAAAAAAATGGGTATATAGCTCAGTGGGCCTTACCTGGTAAAATAAAAAAGTTTAATTTAGTTAGTTTAGTCTAGTGAAGGCCCTTCTAACAGCAGTGTCTTTAGCAAGTAATTTCAGGGTAGGAGCTTTACCTTTGACCCTGAGCCCCTTCCACATTCCCACGGTAGCCTCATCGACCAAACATGGAGGTGCCTGCATCGAATCCAGCAGTTGGGAGGGCAAGGGTTGGCGGATGATGTAAAGTTATGAAACTCCCAAACCTTATTGGGCCGTGATGTGGCCAAGAGATGGCTGTACAGCAAATTGAGTATCTGGAGAAATTCTACTTAAACAAAAAGATAATACTTAAAGGTCTGCACATATGGATTTACAACCCCACTTAGTGCACTGCCATCTCCTAGCCACCGTGCAGCCCAGTAATTCTTGGCTGCTCACACTTCTGGGTGATCCACCAACGCCTTCCTGTACAGCCCTGGGTTACAGGCACCCGCCGTCCTTTACCCAACCAATTATAACACTGCATTTGTCACATTCGGTGCTATATTGGGGGACATCCCAAATACCACCATGATTAGCAAAATAAGCCATCGTTGGTTTTTCCAAGTGCATCTGTCAAGTGTGATCAATGGACTTAATGTGAATTATGTGGGAGCCCATTGATCAATCAGTTGGCTTTATTGGCAACATCTGACTTGGGCAGTCTGCAATACCCAGGATGTTTCATTATGCTAATCAAAGTGGAGTTTAATCAATTTAAACCGGGAGGCTGTTTACAGGATATGTGCATCTGCAGTTGGATAACATTCAACTCCCTCGCCTGTGTGTATTCTCACTTACCCACCTATACACAGTGAACATTTGTATACAGAGCCTCCTCTACTTACGAACGAGTTTGGTTCCAAAAGTCTGTTCATAAGTCGATTTCTTCGTAAGTCCACCTTTACTCCTGTCGATTCCAAACATGTTGTACACTAAACACGGGGAATGGCTTTAAAAGTTGTATAATCTCCTGTAGATGTACATGCCACTGATTCCTCACAGTCTGCAGATGGAGATGCCACCACCGCCATCTTTTGCGCGGTGGTGGAACTTACGACTCTCTGTACAAACAGGCAACTGAACATATGGACAGGTGTGTTCGTATCTCTGAAAGTTAGTAAGTCGGGTGTTCGTAAGTAGAGGAGTGCTGATATTGTGACTATAAAACGCCACAACTGGAACAGTGGATCGTGTGCATGTTTGCGGTGCCTAAGCGCTCATATTTCCCAGCCACTATTAACACTTAACGAGGGAATAGTGCTGTGATGGTCAGTGTGTTTGTTTGTGCTATGATTCCAATGACTTGATTCCTAGCCATTCACAGCACCACTGAATCTGACCTTGGACTTCTTCTAGTTTGACTTGGCCAAGCAAAAAATACCTGGCATCGTTTATTAACGTCAGTCAGTTTAATCAACGATTGCTATTTGCCCTTCAATTCAAATTGTCTCCATACTCCAACGAGCATTGGTGAGGCGCTCCGCTACGTTGTGCGCCATGAACCAGAAGTGTAAATTCTACAGTAACCCTTTGCCATTCCGTGTATGTACGTGTACGTCATCAGTTTTCCTTCCTATTCCATTCCGATGACATACATGCACATGTACATCATCAGAGTGGAATCGGAAGAAATCAATAAAAGATAATAACTTTATCCACAAGGCCATGCGGGGGGGTGTGTGTCACAGTTTGGCGCCATCTATCATAGAATACGGTCGTGTCGCTACAGTTCTCTGCGGTGATTACAATGTATTTAAAAACAATGGCGTTATGCCTCTCTAAAAAATATATAACGCTGAGCCACTTACGCATTCCAAGATTCACCGCATGCTGCAATTTGCAGTCGTCTCAGAATGGGGAAAGGGTTAAGTGAGTGCGTGACAATGTTGGATGTTGCAGTCGAGAGACATCCTCCTGCTGCTGCTGCTGCTGCTGCTGTGCCCTGTGTGCCCCACAGTTCATGGCACGTGGGAGGAGTGGACCCCCTGGAGCCTCTGCTCCTTGACGTGTGGCCGCGGGCTGCGCACGCGCGAGCGCACCTGCAACGAACCGCAGTATGGCGGCAACCACTGCGATGGGCCCAAAAACCAGAGCAAAGTGTGCAGCATTGCCCTCTGTCCAGGTACCTCCGTGTGTATCTCAACGGCTATGATTCCTCCCCCTCCCTCAAAGCCGCACTGCTGCACAAGTTATCTTGATGTTGATGAGGGGGCCCTTCCAGAGGTGGAGTGAGGATGTTGCTGAAGCACGTGGCCCACTGGTGGTGGTTAGGCCTCCCCCATGAAATCTCCATCTGACATCTCCATCGTCCCTGTATTATCTCTACCATGCATCTCTCTGCCTTATCTACTTCTTTCTGTGTCCACCACTTCAATCCAAATCATCCTCAGTCGACTTCCTGATTACCCATTGAACATGTAAACCTTCAATTGGGCCTCTGTATTACTCTGGATTTGACCTCCTCCAGATCATTATGACTCCTTCACTACAGATTTCTCCATTGGGACTTCCAGAACTCTCCATCAGACCTCTAAAAGACACTTGCATCCGACCTCCACACCCTTCCATTTGACCTTCGTACATCTCCAATATGTCCTCTCTACATATCACTGCAATACATTTCATAGGACCCCACAATCTGACTTTATGTGACCTCCAGACCTCTCTATCTCACCTTCTTTAGACCCCCACCATCAGAATGCAGATCTATCGATCTATCCATCAGACCCCAGCCCCTTCCATATAACCTCCCAGAAAATACTGTCATTAGCTTGCAGAACCTTCAATCGGACTTCCAGGCTCTTCTATCTGACCTCCATAAAGCCCTTCATACCACCGGACCACACATCTGACCTCCACACTCTTCAATCTGATCTTCAGAGGACCCCATTATCAGCCTTCACACCCCTCCATGTGGCCTCCTTAAGATTTCACAATCTGACCTCTAGATTCAATGTGATCTTCAGAAAACACCACAATCAGCCCCACACCCCTCCCATGTGCCCTCCCAATGTGACCTCTATCAGATCACTCGTTATAACCACCATGAGACCCCTTGTTTGATCTCACCTGCGGTCTCTTTTCCATTCCAATTCTCAATGAACCACCATTTTGTTATTTTAATCTCCGTGGTATTCAAAATGTCTTCCACAGCCTCGTTTAGTGTAATAGCATTGAGCGTGTCTTTGGCTGTGTATTTTGATAACTAATATATGAGAAAGTATATTGCCAGTTGTGCAGAATTATAAATTGGATGAAATGCAATCCAGTACTACAGACAAAAATCACCTGTATGACCTTAACAGACTGTTCGGGCAAGTGCTGTTGTTAGCGAGCACCTATGAAGGCCCGCACAGCACATGAGGGGGTGAGTGGCCAGCACCACCCCCGGCCGCCTTTGTCTCCCGAGTGGTGATGTTTACACACTGCACCAGGTACTCATTTGAGGCTGAGTTGACCTAGCGGAGGTCCAGGGACCAGTTTAGATAATCACCACTCTTGTTGGCCATGAGCGGGAATCAAACTCGGGTCATCAGGTTCGTAGTGTAGCATGCTAACCGCTGCACTTCCGCTTCCCACTACGACTCTAGTACCACCATTACATTCATGAATGCTGCCTTTTTTTACATATAACAAAGTAGGAAAATGCATAATATTTATAGCAATGACCTTCCATGCGATGTCCCTTTGTTTGAAATATCTATTGGCCAAATGATTGGCTTCATGTATTTTTGTTCAGTTTTTCAGGCAGTGTTAGTAATGATGATGGTATATAGTGCATGCATTGTGAATATAATGTTCAATTTTTTTTAAAGGAACAATATGTTTTGTGATGTATTCCAATTATGATGTGAATGCGGGGATGTGTTGGGTTATATTTGATGCTTCTGCGACTGTTAATTGACTGAATTTAAAATAATGCACATGCAGAAGAAAGAAAGACATTCAATTAAAACAAAAATAACGGGAAATGTTCAATACAGCCACCGTTCATTATATTTCACGGAGAAAGCTCTGTAGGCCATCCACATAAACTTAGCCGAAAGGGTTGTTGGTAAGAGGCATGGGGGGGATGAAGGAGCTTTTCCATTCAAATTGAATGCACGAAGGGTTTCGATTTAAAGCTTTCGTGACTGCAGGGATTCATCTTCTTGGTTCTTTCGGTAAAGTCACGTAGAAGGGAAATAATAAAATAATAATAATAAAACATAATAAAATCAAATAATTCTCACGACGTTTTGGCCACAACGCAAGCAGCCGTCTTCAGGTGAAACGTCGTGAGAATTATTTGATTTTATTATGTTTTATTTTTATTATTTTATTACTTCCCTTCTACGTGACTTTACCGAAAGAACCAAGAAGATGCACGAAGGGTGTTCATTTACACCAGAGATACACAATAGTAGGCTGCAACCCTTCCCCTCCGTAGCCACTCTATCGAAAGTTTAATCTTCGCCGAAAATGCACTGTACAGCAGAACCCCTCTTAACGATGGCAATTGGTTCCACGAAAACGGTCGTTAAGTGATGTCTTTGGTCATTAAGCGAGTATAGAGAATACATTTTAAATGCTTAATTACTTCCGATAGCATCGAAAGTTACCCCGTTTCACCCATAAAACGTACTTTATAATATTTAAACAATGGATATCCATCCATAAAGATACTAACAACATTATAAACACAGATCAGAGGACACCTCTGTCACACTCTAAAGTGAACAGATAATGGCTCCGACTCCTGGCAATGCAGCTTAACCCCGTCCTGCTCACCATTATGAAGGTCCTTAATGATTCTGGGCAGAGGGTCAGGGACTCCAAAAGGACGAAAAATAACCCAGAGCCCTGGCCTATTGATCGTATCATAAAGCACATATGTATATGCTTTATAATACGATCGTATGTTCTGTTGAAATTCCCTAAAACTCTGCTGCAGCAGACAGACGGAGAACATTATGTTCGTGAAGGACCGGGCCAGTCTGAAATCAAATCGGGGCTCTGCAAGCCTCTTCTCAGCACACCTGGAAAGATGTTGAAAAATACAGCACACTGAGGAGGGAGATGCCATGGTAGTTGTTGTAATCAGTGTTGGCTCCCCTGTTTAAAAATGGGGACGACCAAGGCATCCTTCCAATTATGTGGAACCCATCCTGTGTATCAGATGGTTGTACTTTTGTCACATTGGGCAGTCTGCACATAAATTGCCACCCTCCCTCATCAGTTCACTTGAAAGGTCATCCTCTGCCCGCCGCTGTACCTGGTCTCATGCTCTATGATCACCCTTCACACTTGCTCAGCCAGCCAGTCACAGAGACCAGCTGATTCCTCCAATATTTGAAGCATTGCAGTCCCATCAAGGTCAATCTTGCTGGTGTTTGAGCTAAAGAGTTTTCCTTCACCCAAGACCTCACAGAAATACTCAGCAAACCTGCACACACACACAAAGAGAAAGACAACCCCCCCTCACCCTGTACAACTCCGATTAGCGCAGTTGGCTGTGTGCGGTGCAAAATAACTTCAACATACGTACATGCATAGATTGTTTGGAAGAGTTCTGTTAACAAGCACCTATTAAGGCTGGCATTGCACCAGGTACCGATTTAAGGCTGAGTTGACCTAGAGCACGGGTGGGGGGGGGATCCAACCTTGGCTGGGACTCACCCAGGTAATGTGGGTTTGTAGCGGAGCACACCAACCACTGCGCCATCGTTCCCTGCGGCGCACCATACATCTACACATAAATAAGCACAAAAATGCACGCGAGCGTGGGCGCACGCGTGCACCCTTGCATGCTTATGAGGTTGGGGACAAATGAATAATTTGGCAGGCTGACAAAACGTGTTTGGTCAGCAGCACGCGCACAATTGGGCGAGTTCATGTGGAGGATTGTTGACACATAACGATTATCTGCTCCGAGATTCGTTGAGTTGTCAAGATTCTACTCAAGGAGTGATTCCTTTTTGCCGTTGCTGTTCATATGGCATATCCAGTGATTCAATTGCATGCACTGTGAAAGGTAAACAAAGGGGTAATGGTGGAGCCTTGCAAATGATTTGCTCCTGCTACTGCTGGCAGGCGGGCCTCCTCCAAAATAGTTTAAATCGGAAATAATCGACGCTTTTACGCACACACACACAATTTGATGTATTGCGACGTGAATTGATGCTTCATTGCATTGTTAGAGGGTTGGAAAGATTGTCAGCCGAGTCATTCCCCAACAATGAATGCGATGCAAGCCGCGTAGGCATTAGCAATATAAGGGTGGATAAATGTGACAGAAGATGCTATACGGGAGTATGGGGGTGGGGGGCGTCGTTTGTAGCAAGAGGCAGATGAAAAGGTGGGGGAAGGGGGCTGGGAGGATGTCAGTCAAGGGAGCAGGCGAGGGCTCCAATGCAATGAGGACAGCAAAGAATGCATTGGATGGGGGGAGGCAGTCAGTCATAGGCAGAGGAGAAAGGGAAGGTCATGGGCTTGGACTTGAACAGCGGGATGGAGTTGGCAGTTGATCGCTGCAGAGAGGGAATTCCATGCGTGTATTGGTGGTAAATGTGAGAGACAAGGATCAGCGAAATGTAAGTTCGCTTGAATTATGTAAACACACGGCAGCTTAATAAATAACAGCGGCGAGGGACAAACTGCCTTGGCCCATTGACAGGTTGCCAAATCGTTCCCAAATTTCTGAAGAGGATCTCGCAAATAGTTTTCACTTAAATGCTAACTTCGCTGAGATTGTTGCAGTAATTTTCTTTTTTTTATTTGCACAAGTATTGCATTGCAATTCACTGCATTCTGATTATCACTAGAGATATGCTTTAATACAAGTCACCTTTTTGTGTTTTATAATGTTGTTTTGTCATTGCAAACATTCATAACCATACAGGATCACAGTTTTTTTTTTATTGAACCGACCATGTTTGTACACTGTATATATGTTCAACTTCTTTCGCACCATACATAACCAACCGTGCTAATTTGAGGTGTGGGGAAGGACAACAAACTAAACACAAAAAGCAGTTCTAAAGAAATTAGTCTTCAATCTAGATTTTAAAGTGCATAGCTCCAGTGTCTTTCTAATACTGTATAATGGGCAATTTTTTATGCATTTGTTTTCGTAAGGCGTAATGTTCATATATATATTGGTGCTTTTATTTGGCTGTGTAAACCGCTTTTGTCAGCAAAGCCTGAAACATAAAAAGTCTTGGGATCTTGAAATGTATCACGAAATAAACCTGGAGCAGTTTTTTTCTAAATTTGCACTTGCACAATGACATGGTTACACATTTTTTTGGTCTCCCACTGGCAAAGCAAGATTACAAGCCCACGGTGGAATCTCCTTATCCAACAAGGGGATGTTCACATTCCCCGCAGCAGGTGTAGCTAATGAGAACACCGAGCGAGCGTTCGTGTGAATATTTATCCAGTAAATTCCGGGTGTAACTCTCTAAAATGCCTGTGCATGCCCTAATGCAGGTGCAACGATGCTGAGCCAGCAAGAAAAGTTTCACATCTCTATGGCAGTAATTCGTTTGTTGCCATAGGACAACTGCTGTTGCTTGTTAAGGAAATGCCCCTTATTTTATTAACCCTGGATGAATAGTTGGTGGGCGGGAATAGTAGGGGTTAGGGGTGGGTCGGCTTCATGAAGACCCATATCCCTCTGAGAGCAATACAACAATAGATGTTTCAAGAAAGCATTGCAGACATCATCGGGAAGGAGACTTTGCCATAGTTTGGGGTAAGTAGCCATGGTGAAGGAGAATATGTTGCTGAGACAGGTATTGAGTGAGCACCCATAGGTTGGGCATCTCAGCGGAAGGCTGAAGCCCAGAAGGAGGCACAATGTAAATGCAGACTTTGGAAGTTGTGTGTTGACTGTACAACAGTTGCATGATCAGGCTGAATGACGGGCATGATGGTGAGTTGTGGTGGCATCAGCTGCAGTAATTACAATGACCTCTTTATCACATCAAACTTCCTGTTTGTTTTCTGTTTGGCAGTGGATGGAAAGTGGACAAAGTGGTCAAATTGGACTCCTTGCTCTGTGTCGTGTGCCAATGGGACCCAGCAACGATCACGGGAGTGCGAAGGCCCCATCTATGGAGGCGCGGAGTGCAGGGGCCAATGGACTGAAAAACAAGAATGCTACATCCGCGTTTGTCCCGGTAAATACCTTTTTAATGTACGTGCAATCTCCCACCACATTCCCCCAATGATTATTTGTTTTATACATTCGAGTGAACATTGTACTCAAGTGCTGAATTACTATTTGTGCGTTCCGGCACATATTATATACACGTTCTGCTTATGCGTAACATCATTGTGCATAATTCTAGCCCAGGTAAAACAATGAGATGAAAACGGCATGAGGATTTGTGTTTTACGTACAATCGGTGAGTCTTCATATTGTACTGCTACCTTCTTGAATTTTTTGACAACAAAACATTATTCCAGTGTACCCTTTGTGAAGTCTAAATCGAGTTTGCTGACCACTTAAATAAAAGAGAAGATATGTTTTGTTTTTATATATTTATCAGGTGTAGACGTTTTGGCTCAGTCATAGCATGTTTAGATGGAAGTGCGCAAATGTAGGCCTGTGATGCTTGAAGCCAATTCAATTAGCAGTATGGCTGCTATAAATGCCTGTTGCATATTTTGCATCTAGAAAGTATTGACATTTCTGATGTTATTTCTGCACTTAATTTCTTCTCATTATTTATACATGAATCAGGCTTATTTTCACCGAGCATTGCAAAATGTATAGGGCCTGGTTCACGTGACCTCATGTGGACAATAAAGAAGGACCGCCGTGCCGAGAAGGGCCTTTGCCCAAAACATCCTGCACCTCCGATTAGCCCGGTTGGCTACGTACGGTGCGAAAGAAATCCAAAATGCATACGACACGTTATTTATTAAGGAACCGCCATCTCATATTCACATGCATTGCGACTCTTCAAATATTTAGGGGTATTTCTCCCGAATTGGAAAAAAAATGCCTGCTCTTGATATTTTGGTTGCCGACCCCTGACCTGTTATATATTTGTCCTTTCAAGGCAGTTATTGGCGAACGTGTTGAGTTTTTTGTTACCTTGGACATTTTAATGTTTCAGCCTCTTTCTGGTGCCTTTTATGATGCCACATGACAATGTGGACGTTGCTTAATGTTATGTAGACAGGACTCTGGTGATCATTTGACACGATAAAGCCTATATCCTTTCTGTAAAAAGTGTGTACTGTATTTATGGCTCATATTAGAGTATATAGCTGCTATAAATGTCACCGTAATAAGCCAGTTTGTTGAGCTATCATTTGTGACCAGGTGGCTCTTTTATTTCCTATATTTCAATAAAAGTCTCTTAGTAAGCTTCATAAATGTATTAAGTGGTATTGCTCTGAAAATCTTTTTTTTATTTCTATTATTAAAGTCCTTAAAATGAATGTATGTCGTTGTGGTTGTTAATGAACGGTGTTAAAAAAAGTACACACGGATTCACGCTTATCCCTATGCACAGTATTAATATGGTCACTCCTAATAATATTATGAACGGTCCTGTAGAGAGATTGGCCAATACCATGGGAATGTGTAATGTCTACTACTGGCTCAGGGCCTCAAATAGAAATGCGCACTGTGCCGTTATTGTTTAATATCCATTAGCAACAAAGCCATTCTTTTTTTCCTGAATGCGTTTTTTAGTGTCACAAAGTGGCACAATGCAAATTTCTATTTTCGATGTTTTTGTTATTTAATTCATAAAGGGAATGAAATACTCTTTCACATCTGTAATGAAATATTACATTTTGTCTAAAAATGTAAATTACTTTAAACATGCATGTATTCATATCGGATTCTTTACTCTGCACAGCAATATTTATTTTACACTTATATCTAGGGGATGCATATTGTTAATAAGCCACTCTGTTGCCCCTGTATGTATGCGTTCATGCATACATACATACATATTCGTGCACATATGCATATGAATGGAATTGTAAATATAACCAGACTGAGAATCCAGGAAATGAATACCAATCCAATTTCAGGTTTATTTGTAAATACGTACAAAAAATACATCACACGGTGAATACTATTGTTTTAAACATTGCTATTACCTGTTAGCATATTTAAAACATTCACAGGATTACATGTGACTTTATTCACTCTGATAATGTATAAAAATAATAATAACATGATGTACAGCCTTTTGTCAATCCACTGTCGTATGAAGACATTCCCACACCCTGTTGCTCATAATGATTATTTTACCATATTTCACCGCACTGATGGCAGCCGGAACCAGGAACAGAAATTAGGTCGCTGGGTTCATCACACAGCATACTAACCATTGTACTTTTACTCCACCCAGTTCTAAGACACTTTTAATGAAATTATCCTTGCCCATTGTATTTACAGAAATTAATTCATACAAGCATACAAGTCACATATCACTCGTGATTATTATTGTTGTTGTATTGTTTAATGCTTCGCACCTCCGATTAGCGCGATCGGCTTTGTGTGGTGCAAAAGAAGTTCAACATACATACATTAATCTTGATTTGAAACTCTCGTGACTGCAGGAATGCATACTCTTTTGGTAAAGTCACGTAGGTATAAAATAAAATCCCACCTGATGACGGACACTTGTGTTGCGCTCGAAACGTCGTGATTTATTTTATTTTATACCTACGTGACTTTACCGAAAGAACCAAACAGTATACATACACAAATAAATTAAACTATTAACCTGAACAATGTTTGTTATTTACCGTGTAAGGCCCACTGAGCTATATAGCTCTTGTTTCAGAAGCAACCTGACCACACGTTATAGCTCAAGGAAGTGGCTTAGAATATGGAAATTTATAGCAGCCAAATACTCTGAAGCATATTTCTAAACATGAAGGGAAAAACCGGAAGACCCAGAGACAAATCTACACGACCACGGGGAGAACACGCAAACTCCAAATATACAGGCGTCATGGTGGGGATTGAACCCACGACCTCCTGTATACCAGGCGAGGTAGATAACATCCCATCACCGTGCTTGCAGGCATCTTTTTTGTAACAAGCACGATGCGTAGGTGGGATTTTGACCTGTCAGTGGCATCGCTGTGATGTTCGGTGCAGATCAAGGCAAGCATTTATTTGCAACAACAAAAAAGTATACTTTCACCTGAAATTCTGTATGCAGTAACTTATTTGGATGACTGCCCATTTTTGCCAAGCTAGGGTTGTAGGGGTGGGGGGGGGGGTGATGCAATTATGTTGCGGGTTGAAGCAAAGAAATGGGTGCATTCACATTTGTGTGATGATGAGAGCAGGGTCAGTGCAGGGCTTTTACAATTTTCGAGCGCTTGATGTTCGCTTCTTGGTAATTTGATGGAATTGCAGCAATTGTGGCGCTCCGCTGAGACGGGGGGCTGAAGCTGTGCATGTGCACAGAGAGCGCAGTGGGTCTCACAGGAGCGTGTCAGTCATTACAATGCAGCGGGGAGGGGTACAATAATAAAAAAAGCCAAACATCAATTTTTCAGTTAAGACACCACTGCTGACACCTGCAATCAATATGGCCCTCTCTATGAGCTTACCAAACGCAGGGAAATGTTGATTAATTTCATGTTGCGCTTGTAGACGCCAAGCTTTGAATATCGTGATGTATTGGATTGTAAGCAACAGCAAGGCACTGCAGGAAAATCACTTCTTTATTTCCGCAAGTCCATTTTCTGCTACAAAGGGAACATCGCCGATATATCGTTCCTCAATCTGTGGTCTCTTGTTGATTCGTGGAAAGGTCCGTAATTTGCAAGAGTTCAGTGCAAAAACGTGAGAAAGTGAAGACGATGGTGAGTATGCAAAGAGCCATTAGACCAGCAACGCTTGAACGATGTGGATTCATGATAGGGCCACTTGTGTGGAATTCCGTTTGCCGATAAATGTGGAAAAGGACGTGAAATGTTTGACAGGATTGTGAAAATGCCCTCGTTACAAATGGCTAAGAGGACCGGAGGGAAGATCATGAGCTGCCATCTATTCACTCTTTGTCCTTTACGAACAAGCAATGACACAGATGGAAATATTATAATTGCAACTGTATGAGAAATGTGTGTCGGATGGGGGAGGGTAGCTTCTGAACCGAATCATTGCACAAGGGTGAGTGGAGGGTTAGGAAAGGGCAGTTTATGTGGGGTCACATATTATATTGCTACGTTCAGTCTCATTTATTTCCCTCTGAGGCTTATCCATGCCAGGGGTACGTGTTTGGTTTTTGTAAGCGGCACGGGCGTAACATCCCATCGAGTTTGATGGCATGTAAACAACGTGTGTACCCTAAGTATGAATATGCTAATGCAATTGCAAGGCATCAACCACAAAAAAAAAATGTCCAACCACCTTCATTCACCTACCTCTCGAATAAAAAATATCTCTCCCACTCTCATCAAAAATTCGTTACATCCCTCCTCCTATTTACCTCTGCCCACATCTCCCCGCAATATCGCTTCTGCTCTCTCTCTCTCTGAGCTAGAAAACACCTCCATCCACCTCCCGTCATCAATCGCCGTGCAATGGGAGGCCATTCCTTCCCCTCCGCTGCTCTTATAACCTAGAGCAGCCCTCCACTTGCTGTCAATTTATGTCCCTCTCTCTCCCCCTTTTTACTTTGCACGAAGGATCCATCTTTATTGCTTATGATTTATCGTGTTAAATTTCTCTCACTCTCCTTCTTGCGTTGTGTATCAGGCCAAAAACACTCCACGGTGGGATTGGTAAAACGTCCTGATGTGGGACCTTCCTGGAATTGAGTCTATGGAAGACATGGACCTTTTATTGGATGAATAAATGACACGGTCATTTGTGTTGTATTTCCATGGTCGCCCTGCAGAGTGATTGCCCCCACCCTATAGGAATATAAACACGAGCTTACGGCAATAAACAGAGATGATGACAAACCCGTGTTGCATATAAGCAGATTTTAAAAAATGTGCCTTTTTAAACAGTATTTCTCTTATGATGCATTGTCAGGTCATCCAAAGTCCTCTTATCCTTCTATATTACAGACGAAGATACACCCCCAATAGCCTTAACGCACTGTTGGGGCGTGTTGCTGTGAGCGAGTACGAGTTTCGCAATTTGTCAGCACGCCTTCGTGGTGGATTTGTGTGGGCCCTGTGTGTGCACACACCCAGAGGGCCCACACCACGCGCACAGCGCTGATGTGCACACAACAACCACTAAGTGGCGGTGATGTCACCACGGCGCTTGTGCCAGGCTAGGTGCACGTTGAGGCCACGTGAAGTGTCGAACGCCTGCCGGCAGGAGGTCACGGGGCAGACCCAGGTGCCACGGGTCGACTGAGATGACTGGTCGATGCGCCACCTGAGCCAACTTGCTGTGTTTTAGCCGCCCGGAGCTCCGCTCGTTGTTGTGAGCGTCGCTCCTCCCGACCCTCCGTTGTTGCTGGAGGGCGACTGCCTCCAACTGCCCAGTAGCAGCAGCAGCGTCCTTCACGAGCCTCCTCCACAAGAGGCTCTTGTACCACATCACTCCGTCTCTTCTCTAGCCCGCGCCCGTTTAGCCCCCTCTATCCGGCCGAATACACAAAGACAAAGATCCCCCGTATAGTCTTAACAGTCTGTAGGGGCAAGTGCTGTTAGCGAGCACCTATGAAGGCCGGAACGGTACACGAGGGGGTGGGTGGCCAGCACCACGCCCGTCCGCCTTTGTCTCCCCAGTGGCGATGTTTACACACTGCACCAGGTACTCATTTCAGGCTGAGTCGACCTAGGAGAGGCCCAGGACCGGTTCAGATAATCGTCACTGGTGTTGGCCGTGAGCGGGAATTGAACCCGGGTCGCCAGGTTCATAGCGCAGCGTAGCGCTAACCGCTGCACCACCGCTCCCCAAACGCACACATTGCCACACGCATCGAGCCGGTCCACTCGTGCAGGAGGACGTGCCCGTGTCGTTCGCGTTCATGTGACCGTGACCGCGCAGAGGTACATACAACTTTCAAATTGACAGTGGAATTGATGCGTTTTGTTTTTATTTATTCTACTCTGTTGTCTTATTTGTGTTATTATCTATATTGTTGTACAATTTAATTATGTTATATGGATGTTTGGTTTGTGTGGACGGTACAGGATTAATGTTATGCAATTTTAATTTTCTCCACGGGAACATAACCCCATTTCTCTCCCTCTCCCCCCCCCCATATAAACAGAGCAGCTACATTCGCGAATTTTACTTTTGCGAACACCGAGGCCTGACCCTAGTTTAGCTCGTACTGCATCAGTGTGCGCGTACTTTGTGTACGTGTATATGTTTTCTCTCTGCCCTCACGTGCCAGGTGTACCGCTGGTGCCACACGGTCGTGCCAGCCGTCGACGGCTACTCCACAAACGCCCCTTGCGCCGTAAAGTCTTGAGTCTGGATGGCTTATCTTGGGCATCCCCCCCCCTCCCCCCGGTGTGTCTCTGTGCCTGGGTAGTGGACGGCCAGTGGATGTCCTGGGGTCAGTGGAACGAATGCCCCGTGACTTGTGGCAGAGGTGAGCGGAGGCGCATCCGCGTCTGCCACGGGCCGTTCAACGACGGGAAGATGTGCGACGGCCTTTCCTCCGAGACAAAGACGTGCGCTGAGGCGAAGTGCCCCGGTACGTCACGCGTCGCGATGCTTGCGCTGTGCTGAGACATTTTGGTGGAAAATTCCACATTTCTACGGTGTTGTGTCGCTGTTCCATGAGACATTGTTGGTGCGGCAAAGCGGTACTCGTTTTATTGGCCCTGAAAGGATGATGGGCTTTGTCGACACCCCATCCCCCACTCCACGAGATTTAAGCTCTGAAGCTTCTAAACGTGATGTCGGTGCCCAGAGGTCACACACCACCTTGTCATCTGTGTGTGTAAACGATATAACGACGACTCATTAGGTCCAGGAGGCCTATATACTGAAAGACTGACTTGTTTTTCTTGTCTGGACGAGCTTACTGTTTTGTGCTGAATGAATCCAACTGTGTTCAAGGGGTGCTATTGCGTTTGATATCAGGCCTCATCCAGCGCCATTTATGGAATGGGCCTGACCGCTGATGAAACCCTAAGAGTAAAATGCTATTCTGGGTTTGCCTGCTGAAAAAATACTGCTGGATAACATTGGACCAGAAGGCTCATTATTTTGGAAGTGTTGTTGGAGTTCATTACATAGTAAAGAAAATATCCTAAACTTTGAGTCCATCAAGTAAAAATGCAAATTGTCACTCCTATTAAAACAACCATGGGGCAGTGCTCGTACCCTTCGGTGAACCTGAGACAGTGGGTAAAATTGCATATTCCTCTTGTGTTGGTCACTTCCATTAGATGATCAATTGAGCAGGGTGAGACCTGTGACTGACTTCAAATTAACGGTGCAGCAGATTACAATTTGGCCACTTACATTTTTTTTTTGCTTTGGCGAGCTTAATCTATTTTTTATTACAATGCATAACATTACGAAATTGTCCTTTTGACTCTGACAGTTAAAAAATATATATATTTTTTGTGCCTGCTGTGACTCACTCACAAAGGGCATACTAGAGGATTATCGTGAAGGTGAATCGGAGATGCGAGCGAGGGGGGGCAGGGTCCCAGGGGGGGGGGTGGTGTTAGACAGCAGCGAGCGTGTGGGTGGAAGAAATTCGAGGCAGCAAAGAGGAAGGGAGGTGAGGTTTTCATGGGGTTTACATCTCCCACAGTTTATGGTGGCAATAAACCAAGGTGCTGTCCGCACAATGTAACCCACAAGCTGAAGCCTTGTGCTTTGCGAATTTCACCCACTGAGAATTTGAGGTCGCGACCCCCTTCTCCTCTTCTGCTGCATCCTTCTCGCCTCTTATCTCACCTCCGCTCGTAACGACAGGAAAAGGGATGCCTTTGGTAGCCTTCCAAAATTAGCTTTTTATTTTTGTTTATTGCAAGCAAACAAAATGGAAACGGTCAAAAGTACGTCGTATTTTTCTTGAAAATTGTTTTATCAAGGCCATCACCTACCCAGAAGCGTTGTGAAATACCGGGGGCCGAATTTGTAAAAACTCTCTCATTATGAAAGTGCAGCCACCACTCGCTTTAAATTGCGTAATTTTGTACACGCCCAATCCGTCAGCCGTCAGCCACCAGCTAATTCCACCTTTTTGGTGTGTAATGAAAGCTTCAAATGAGTCGCTGTCAAGAACCTTCTAAATGCTACTCTGATTGATGATTGCTCTGAATCTGGGGACTCCTCACGCTCACTCCTTTAGACCAGCATAGTCCCATAATGAGTGTTGCTTTCTGCATCTTAACAAGACGCTTTAGCCTTTGAACGCTATTAAATCACACTAGCAATTTATTTAGCCGTAAAAATTTGTTTAAATGTAAAATGAGCTTTCTGCCGTGATCTGGATGAATAATTTCCGTCTTGCAGCAAGTTTAAATATAATGCCGATAGCGGTAAGTCGCTGTTGATTTTTTATTTAAACGTGGCATTTTGTTTTGAAGTCAAAGTCTCAAAATGTGTTGGCAGCGGAAAGCTACCTTGTTAGATGACATGTGGTGACGGTGCCATATAATGTGTGTTGCTTGTTACATTGGCACACAAAGCCGAGTTTGCTAAATCAATCGGAGGAACACAATTGAAAAAAAAAGTTTTTATATACTTAGGGCAGGTTGTTAACGTCATATCAGCATTAGATTTATTAATTAAAGGTAGCGGACATGAATAGGTTGGAGTCATTTTTATTCAATGTTGTACGACAATAATGGAAAGCAGCAATGTGCCGATGAAAAATCAGAATCGGTGCCAATCACTTGTGGATCATTGGCAAAGAAAATGGAACAAAAGCTGTATGTTAGCAAAGAAGCAAGGAGAAGTGTATGCCTTGTAATTACACTGAGAGACAGACATAGACACGAAGATTAGAGATGGCACGCAAGTTAGAGATATCGTGTTGATAATGAAGGTAAGCAAAAGTGGGCTTACCGGAATCCATTTTGGTCTTGCAGAGGAGACGATTAGGGCGCCACAGTGCTGATATTAATTATGTCGCCTGGCATACAGAAGGTCGTGAATTCAATCCCGACCCTGACGCCTGTATATTTGGAGTTTGAATGTTCTCTCCGTGTTCGCATGGATTTTTCTCCGGGTCCTCCAGTTTGACCCTCCACATTTAGAATCAACATGCGTTTCGGAGTATTTGGCTGCTGTACATTTCCACGTGATCAGCCATTTCGTTGAGCTATTATTAGCGATAGCAAGGTCGCTTCTGAAAAAGATCTATATAGCTCAGTGGACCTTACCTGGTAAAATAAAAAAGTGTAGGAGTCGTAGTTTGTTATTTTAATGCTTCGTCTCCATGGTTGATCTGTCCTTGGCTGCCATTCCACCACCCGTCTCATCCATCGGACATCATACCTTGGAGTGCTGCGTCTTCACCAAGCCAGTGTGATGCCTCTGATTTGCATTCGTCCTCTGAGCTACGTGTTTCTCTTTCTCTCTCGGTGTGTTTCCCAGCATGCATCTCTCCATGCTTCATCAGCGAATTATCAGCTTTAATTCCATGTTCTTTGTGACTATTCATGTTTCTGAGCCATATATCATAGCAGGCAAAATGCACCAATTGAAAACTGGCTGTTTAAACACCTTGGTATGTGGCTATTTCATTTAGCATGAAATAATTATGTAAAAACGCACACGCTACACCTTATCGTCTCTTTACTTATTAATTTGTATCCTGGCCCGCCTTGAATGAATACAGTACTCTGTTTTATTTTTCAGTTATGTTCCCAGAAACAGTTATATCTTCTTTTGTTCGGTCGTAAAACTGTGTAACGGCATGAATATGTTGACGCTCGGAAGTAGTTTGGTTGTTGGTGAATTTATTGGATGAATGTCACGAACGCAATTATTATTTCTCAACATGCTGGAGCCTCATTTAGCTTACGCCTATGCAATTATTGCACTGGCGTAGAATTAGTTATATTAAACTCAGACATTTAAATCACTCAAGGGACAGTAGTGTAGTTAATGTTTTGTATGAGAAAATCAAGCATTATAAAGCACTCACAAACGACAAGTGGAGCTTTAATAGGTGCATATATCATCGTGTGTGCTATTATGGAACATACTGGGTAATGGCTAAGGTTGTTTGTGGCCTTTTCACAATTTTGGACAGCTAATTGATGGACTTGTTTGCTCATAAGTAGCACTTGGGATGTAAGTGTATTTGTATTGCTCATCAGCATAGCAAACACGACTACTGACATTGAGTGGGAACATTCTCAATGTACTAACACTGAGTGAGGTCATCACTTAAGATTTCAACTTCTATAGAATTTTGACACTAGTGCCTTCCACGATCACTGGAATCCTGGTTATTCTTGCACAGTGAAGTGGTCCACGGATCAGCAGCAGGGTCTGGGTCCGTCTCCCCAAACTCTAAAATAATAATAACATTGCGTAACAATTTTTTATATTAGTTTCATGACTGCAGGGATTCATCTTCTTGGTTCTTTCGGTAAAGTCACGTAGATGGGAAATAATAAAATAATAAAAATAAAACATAATAAAATACAATTCTCACGACGTTTCGGCCACAACGCAAGCAGCCGTCCTCAGGTGAAGAACAGGGCTGTCGGAAAGACAGCGTCTGAATGAGACGCTGTCCTCAGGTGAAGAACAGGGCTGTCGGAAAGACAGCGTCTGAATGAGACGCTGTCTTTCCGACAGCCCTGTTCTTCACCTGAGGACGGCTGCTTGCGTTGTGACTGAAACGTCGTGAGAATTATTTTATTATGTTTTATATTTATTATTTTATTACTTCCCTTCTACGTGACTTTACCGAAAGAACCAAGAAGATGAATCCCTGCAGTCACGAAAGCTTTAAATCGAAATCTTTCAGTAAAGTCACGTAGGTATAAAATAAAATAAATCACGACGTTTCAGGGTCAACACAAGCATCCGTCGTCAGGTGGGAGAGCATGGTCTGCTGCTGAGGCAGACTGTTTTAAAACCTTTTAAAACAGTCTGCCTCAGCAGCAGACCATGCTCTCCCACCTGATGACGGACGCTTGTGTTGTGCCCGAAACGTCGTTATTTATTTTATTTTATACCTACGTGACTTTACCAAAAGAACGAAATAGTATGTATTCCTGCAGTCACGAAAGCTTCAAATCAAGAATAATAGATATTTTCAATACTTTTTAGGCATGAGAAATACGAAATAACACTTACTACCTAGGAACAAAAATTGTGTTACATAGTGTAATAATCACCCCCTTTGCCCAGAAATGTCTCACTGAGTCTCAAGCCTTTTTTTTTTCAGGAGTGTACTCCTATTGGTGTGTTTGGCCAATTCCCAAGAAAGAACATTTGGCATGTGAAGGGGAAACTAGAGAACCCAGAAAAACAACCCAGGTATATTTACCCAGGTATATATATATATATAGAGAATCCTACAATACCTTGATTTTACAGGAAGGTTCCCATGGAAAGTACAACCAGGCTCAATCCCACTTAACTTCCAAGACATGAGGAGATTGGTTGTATTCAAGGTGACTTTGGTCAGAGGCCTTGAGGCACTATGGGATTGGCCCTCCGCTTCTGAACCCACTGAACCCATCCGGCTCTGCCCGCCGCAGTCGGGGGGTGGGGGTGCATAGTTCCTGAGACTATGTCAAGTACAAATGTTTTTTTCCCTTCCCCGCGTGGGCTATTGAAAGTCACAATACAAAGTATTCATTCAGAGAAGTCCCACAGGACAGCGAAGCCCTGTGGATTAGAGAATGGACCACAGAAGAACTGGATTCCACAGAACTTCAAAGATCACTTCAAGTGACCTTTTCTTTTTCGACACACAGAGAGGCACGCTTTCCCCAATGGGAGAAAAGTTTTGTTGCATGACAAGTCAGATCGATATTTTAAATCCTCAAAGTTGGAATTTAACCACAGAGAAAATGAAATTTTACATGATGCATTTTTTGTTATTTTTTGTAGGTGTTGGTGGGCTTCAGAGACACCATTAACTCGCTACTCAATACAGTTGAGAACCTAGTTTAATATTGGGTGGCTGCCTGGATTGGAAACTGTGATTTTACCAGTGCTGACTCAGTGCCCTGAAGTCTGAGGCATGACCCAGCCAACTCATAATCTTTCATCATACGCTTTAACAATTGCACGTCTGGGACATTTAACTAAGCAAACAGTATCACGGTACGCACATCTCACTTCCACATTAACGCTGTGTCGTCACAGCTGGTTTCAGGATCAGCCAGGCCTTAAAAGTTGCAGCCAAGATCATGAATCTACCCTGGAGCCAAAGTGCTGAGCTCTGTGCAATGAGGTGGCCCTGTAGGATTGTTAATAAAAAAATACAGATTGGACTCATGAGTAAATTTAAGGCTATGTGGAAGCACTAGACTTCTTTCTCCCATGACAACCGCGGACCTCGCTAAGCCGTGCGGAAACGCAGTGTGGGAGACGCGCGTCCGCCATCCACAAACGGACGATCACAGAATCGCCGACCTGCAAATGTGGTGAAGTGCAAACCATCAAACGCATCCCTGACCAACTGGCTGTGTTCGCTGCGATCCACACTGCACCTACTGCCTCCGTGGATCGGTTGAACAAACTTTGCGTTCAACTACAACGCGTTTCAGCACGCTTACTTTTCCATCCTGCCGTAGCAGAGAAGAAGTTTAAGCACCGAGCGAGTCCGTCATGGAAAACTTGCAATCACTGTACTTTCTTTGTAACATGAAGTCAATTTGACAATCTGTGCATAATTGATTAGTTTCCCTACTTATTTATTTTTCAGCAATTTAGACGTGTATAAAAATGCCATGTACCATACCATTAGCTTTATAGTATGTGTAGTATATATTGTGCTTGGTGATAACATTTGACTCACAATTCAATTGAGAGTGCAAATCTTAGTCTGGTGTACATACGATCCCATCTTCCTCTCGGGTAGATAATATAAGTAGCACAAGTCAATTGTTATTGTCTTCAATAAAGTCTGGAGTTCACCATGGGAATGTGGAATTTCCAGCACTGGGAAATTCCACATGAGGAGGGAAACACTGATATTTAAAGTTTGGTTTGATATTCGGTCACATTGACACAATTGAGTGATTGTGTCAATGTGAGGGATACACTGATATTTAAAGTTCGGTTTGATATGATATGAGTGATTGTTTTTGACATTTTTCATGTTATTGGTCCTTTAAACATATTTGCCAGCGTGATTTTAATTGAATGTCTGCATAACTCAATTAATCCTTTCTGAATACAGTTGTTTTCATTGTGACTAAGTCTCATTAAACCTCGCAGGGCTACACTGCTACAAGACAAGCTTGATGTTGACAATAACAGTAATATTTAGCAATGGACTTCACACCTTCCCACCCCGTGTCTGTCTTCTCCTATAAAATACCTTAACACAGGACCCTCCTATAAAAATAGTCATTGGATTCAAATGTGGCTTCCTTGATAACCTAACTAATACATTTTGACTTAAAACTTTCGTGACTGCAGGAATTTATATTCTTTGGTTCTTTCTACCGTGTTTCAGATCTGCCTCGTGTTCACAAACACAGTCCGAGACAAACGGGCGTAGCCTTGTGTTCACAAACACGATCCGAGACATGTCACCGTGGAGGCCTCTCTCCGATCTTACATGAACATGCTAATTTTTCCCTGGCAGCGCCGTCGTTGACCATCACTTACATTAACATCAGCTGCCCCGCCCATGCTGCTGACATTGGGCTACGCCCATTTTAAACCTCTATAAACAGTTTGCCTTTAGAGGCTAACCCCCTTTTCCTGATGACGACCGCTTTGTGTTGCGATCGAAATGTCGTGGTTACTTTAACGAAAGAACCAGAGAAAACTTAAATAACCATCGTCATCATGAGTATTATCCCTTTGCCTTCGCAGCTCCTCACGAAATTTGCCGCCAAGAGCAGCTGGGTTCCGTCACGTGGCAGAAAACCGCTGCCACCAACGTGGCCACGAACCGCTGCCCCACTGACGCCACGGGTGAGCGTTGGTGTACGGTGTTTTTTCTGCAATATTTTTGCTGTCTTTTCTTGAATTTTCTATTTGCACTTAGTCACATATTCACTTTAAGATGTTTTTTGTTCATGTTTTTGTTTGTTGCGGTTGCACCCGATTCAAGAGCCGAATGGCTCACAGGGCTATACCTAATCAATGAACTTGAACTTGAGTCCCTGGGCCACACGCTCACCACCCATCACCCATTACCGTAAACACTTATCTTTGCCGTTGTGGTTGTTGCTGTTGCTGTTACTTTGTCTCCTTGATGGCAATTTCTAGGTATGCACCCGTGCATAAGTTCATCGATTGATGTTGATGCTCAGGTGGTTCACGATGCGTGTAACATGCAAGAATAGGATGTTTACGATTTACGTAAATTCATCTGTAAATTTAACACGTAGGCTTTCACGACAAATATTTTGATTCGTTACATTAAATTAGTGTGTCGTTAACCCTCCTCCAAAATGTGTACAACTTTTTTTTAATATATATTTTTAAACAATGTATATATAGCATACATATAACAGAAAACCTTTCAACAATCTGGGGATATGTATAATGCAATACCAAAAATGATATTTGCATTGTATGTATCAGTGTACAGGCATTAAAATGTTTATATTGTACCTCGCAATACATTGATGCAATTTTTTCTTTAAAAGTCACTTAATTTCCATTGACATTTCGGATTGTTCTAAGAGTTGAATATCTATAGAAGTTGGTTTTATTTCAAGGTTTCTGCTTTATTGGTTTGAAAATTGCTGCCCTTTGGTTTTCGTCCAAATTAATTTTAAATCACTTTTTTATTGGATCTGTTATGGGGCATAATACAGTACGTGCGTGTACATTTTTTCTCACTGCCTTTCTAGAGTGCAATGTAACGTTTATTCTCAAATGCGACCTGATTCTGATATCGACGACCTCTCGCTTACGATTTATACAGACACTACATGCATTTATTTACCCAAAAAAAATGACTGATGGGGGGAATGGATTTTTACCGTTGAAAATTTGCTGAAGTCCCTAAAGACCATTTGAGTGACTTATTGTGAATTGTTCACTTATTTCACATCCCACGCCACTAAGGGATGTCTTGCCACTGCCACACGTCATTCTCTCCGCAGCATTCACAGCCGCTCTTACACATGGTTCATTATTTATAATGTATTTGTTACTCGCGTCAGGGATGTGACGGCGTATTATTCCGAACATGCGTTCGTCCGTAATTGTTTAATAAGATTAATCACCATTGCCTGCGGACTCTTCCACTTTTTTTTACTTCCTATTGTAATGGACTCTGATGTAAAAAAAAAAGAACTCAACACGCATCCGTCAATAACACAGCAGCCTTAACATAAAAATATGGAATAGGCAACATTTCCGGCAATGGCAATTCTTCATAGAACACGTGTCGTTTCATATCCCGTGAAAAAGGGTAATTGCCTTCAAACAATATATATAATCGACGATATTACAATCGGGATACAATTAGAGAGAGAGAAACATTTATTCTGGAGAGAACCTGAAGCTTTTGCTTGTGAGTCTGGCACTCCTCCGTGGTCAAATATTGACAACTTTCATTGAAGCGAGATAAATTGCAGCAACATTAAAATGCTGTTTCAGCTTAGAGTTTACCCGGTCTAAAAGATCCATATTAATATATTATTTATAAAGTACGAGCAGCAGAAAGTATGTGAGGTATTAAATTGCTATATGACGGTATCTTTGAAAACATTACGCCGTGTTTTGTGGTGATGCGTTGTAAAAATTGGTTTAAAAATCAAGCTGATCCCCTTACAAACAGGGGTATGTTAAATATTCAAAGCACTAAATAACCAACCTCTCTCATTTACCAACCTCGTGAATGCAGTGCTCAGAATTTCACCTCTCTATTGCTCAGCCTGATCTCTCGGTCAATGCCTGTGCAAGTGCTGGCGGGGAAATGTTCCCCTCAAAGTTTGCCTAATTACGTTTCGTTGTGTCATTTAGAGACGGCAGGGAACATGTCAGGGAGAGTACACGCACCCCACTAAAAAGCGTTCCAATTCCAGAAGCCCAATTCCATTTTTGAGAATGTACCTGAGAAAGTAAGTTGACCTTTGAAGAGAGAACGTCTAAACCATAGTGTCCATCAGGTAGGACGATAGTAGAATCCCAAGGCACTATCCTTAAAAATGTGGAGTTCGCTGCAGTTGTGGGAAGAATTTAACAACTGAAAATGAGCCACGGAACAGAAAATGAAGCAAAACAGAGCGGTGTATATACTCTTGGTTCTTTAGGTAAAGTCACGTAGGTAAAGAAAATAAAAAATAATATAAAATGAATAAATAAATAAATTTCTCACGACGTTTCGGGCGCAACACAAGCGTCCGTCATCAGGCGGGGACAATCACACCAAGAAACAATTTATTTATTTTTATTTTATTTTATTTTTTATTTTCTTTACCTACGTGGCTTTACCGAAAGAACCAAGAGTATGGATCCTTGCAGTCAGGAAAACTTCAAATCTAGAACAGAGTGGTGCCTCGGCACAAAGCGGCTTGACGCAGCCTAATTCTGCTACCCCTGTATAATGTGAATTGCTGTCGCCCCGGCTAATGAACAGGAGTGGTGATACGGCAGTGCTCGCTGAATTCCGATGGAGTGGCCTCGTGGGAAAAGCTAAGCTTCATCAAATGCATCTCCCACGACGTCCGCAATGCGCTGCAGTTGGTGAGATGCGGTGCACTGTGACGCTGCAACGATTGCTCTCTGCTTCTGGTCTCTCTCGAGCATGGGTCTTGCTTCAGTGACGTTGTGCCTTCTTTACGTGGTGTACACCAAGGACTGTGTTGGATAATCCCGGAGGAACCAGTGAAATAATATTAAAAATGTATGTGTGTTATTTTTGTAATTTTGGAAATGACAATGCGTGTCATGATAACATTCTCAGTCGGAGGTCGCTCTTTCTCCACTGCTGCTCCCACAGTTTGGAAATCTCTCCTCATGTCCTCCACGTAGCTTACCTCAAGCATTAAGACTGTCCTTTTCTCTCCTCTTATCATATATTTATAAACCAAATTTTTTTTATTTTACCAGGTGAGGCCCACTGAGTTGTATCGCTCTTTTTCAGAAGTGACCTGGCCACAAATGATAGCTCAACAAAGCGGCTTATCATGTGGGAATGTTTGGCAACCAAATACTCCAAAGGCATGTTTCATGCATATGACTGTTTCCATCCATCCATTGTCTTGATCAGAATTAAATTCTTCTCTTTCAGTGCTGCCCTCGCGATACATTCCTCATTCACCATATAAAACGTCTTGTCTTGCTCTTCTTCACAATCTCAAAATGCAAATTTCTTGTTTTTTGCAAGAGCCTAGAGATAGTCAAGTTGATATTCTTCACGAAGTCACATTGTATTGTTTTGGGTGCATATGATGAAAAGGTGTTTTTTTCTGATTGTGCAGACTTACAGAGCCTGAGTGGCAATCATTGTCAATCAACAGCTCCTCATAAAACACGGTGTTTAATTAACGTCTGAATAAAAATGCATGAGTCAAACAAACTATATAAATATCAGTATGGACTCGGAGAATCTTCACTCGAGAGCCACTTTATTGAAAATGATGATGACAAATTGATATCATGATTATTACACCCATTATCTATCCACTGCTGGATGTCAAACTCACACCATTGCCATCCCTCACCATCATGCATTGCCACGATCCATCTCACTCCTGCTCATGAACTGGCAGGTGATGTGCGTATAAATAAAACTCTGTTTATAAATCTTTATTGGGGCAGGCTATGTTGTCCGCCTTCTTTAACTGGAGATTAATGTGCAGTGTTTTTTTTGCTCGGTTTGGATAAATCTGTGCTCTCTGTGATGTGATTATCATTTTCAGAATCACATTTGCGCGTGGCATATCATTGACGTCCCACTCGAACGAATGGAGGGGCTGCCTAGCACTCTCTCTCGTGGTGGCGCTTCTGCCAGCAGTGGAATGAGCGAGCAATTGCAGGGCTTCACCTTTACCTTTTTACCTTTTGCCACTCGGGCAAATGAGCTGAGACTTGGGAACGTGGCATTATGTTACTTACTCTGCGAATAATTATCGTCATTTTCAGGCAAATTCACTTCTGAATGAACGTCTCCCTATGCTGTGATGGTCATGTGGGTTTCTTGATCGGACTTCACGTTGATTGTTGCTGAAGGGGAGAGATAACCAGGACCAGTTTAGATATCACTCGCCACTGATGTTAGCCATGGCTGGGAGTCAATCTCAAGTCACTGGCCTCATAGCGCAGTGCTCTAACCACTGCGCTAAAAGCTCCCCACAATTTCTCTCCGATTGTATCTTTGATCCTGTCAGTGCCAATTCACACTTGAAACTTTTGAACCAGTTAATTAGTAAATTCTCACTCCCCTCTGTTCAAACAAGCAATGGGGTGGCACTTACCTTCATTGGCCCAGAATCAATGGCGAAAATTCCACATTCACAGGGTGGGGATCAGCCAATCCATGGCCCAGTGACGTCACGACCTTTAACTCGTGACCTTATAACTGCGAGTTGAATATTGTACGCAAAGCTGTACGCGGGTCACGTTTTCGCCCCCGCCGATGACGAACGTGGGCTTGTGTGTGTGCTCGTTGTTAGATGAGGGACCAGCTTGCGGTGGGACAAGCCACTCCAGAGGGCATGGCTGCGGTGCTGGGCAACCTGGCGGGCACCTCGCAGACCCGGTTGCTCTACAGCGGCGACCTGCTGGCCTGCATTGAGGTCCTGCGCAACTTCACGCAAGAGGCTCGCCGGGTCTCTCGCGACCCAACCAGCGAGGACATTCAGGCACGTACATGAAGGCAAAGACCGCCCTCCCGCGTAGCCTGTAATAGACCGCTGGGGGCAAGTGCTGTTAGTGAGCACCTGTGAAGGCCGGCACGTCACATGAAGGGGTGGGTGGCCAGGATCACGCCCGATCGCCTTTGTCTCCCCAGTGGCGATGTTTATACACCCCACTAGGTACACATTTGAGGCTGAGTCGACCTAGGCGAGGCCCAGAACCGGTTCAGATAATGGTCACTGGTTTCAGATAATCATCACTGGTGTTGGCCATGAGCGGGAATCGAACGCGGTTCGACGAATCCGTAGCGCTGTGCGCTAACCGCTCCCTTATCGCTCCCCACACACGCGCACACTGCACACACACTTTCGCTCAGCGCACACTTTCATGTATTCTGAAGGGAGCGTGAACACTCTTAAGATCGTTCCCAATGTGGCTTCGATCTATCCATATAATTTTTGGGTGGCCTGCGTTCCTGAAAAGGAGAGAGGCGGCATCTTGAACTTTGTAATGTTCGGTTCAAAGGGCATTCTGCTTCGACCGGCATGATAAGCGATTGTTTTGTCGTCCGTGTGCCAGTGGTGTCCTGTGCCCACTGATGTTCCCACTCTCAAAAAAATAACTTGCTTCACGTCGTATCATGGCGTTCGTGATGAATATGCAATCCAAATATTAATTTCAAAGCTATCTTGGTTAAATGGTGGAATGTTCTCTTTTGGGGACGACGTGTAAAAGACACGCCCAGTCGCGGGGCTGTAGTCTTGTTACCGATGTAGAAAATAAACAATGCTGTGCCCGTGTCCAGATTGTGTTTCGCGCGATTCCCCCGTCCGTGCATGGCTTTGCTGTAGTTCATACGAATGTGCATGAGAACTATAATCGACTGTCTGAATTGGAGTACATTTTCGTGTATTTTATTTCTCCCGCCCACCTCCACTACAGAATTTCTTGGAAATTGTGAGCAATTTGCTTTCGGACTGAAAACAGACCGAAGTGGGAAGACATGCCAACGGTACGTTAAAAGCCATTAATCTTATTTCCCATTGAGCACTCTCGTGGGCTGTGTTATTCCAACAACTTTATGAGAAATGCATCTTCCGTGTATTTCAGGACGTATACTTACACCACACAGTGAGACATGGTGAGAGAACAGAGTGTGCTAATTGAATATCATCTTATGTATTAAATGAGACATTTTAAATTGATGGTCATGTACTATCCTGCAACAGAGAGCATGTTCTTGCCACTTGAATGGAAAATTGTTCGAGCTTTTATTGCTATTTCTGCCGCACAAGATTGGGGCTCTATGCTTTTAGGCTTCTTATTTTTGCATTGGCCTAATATCTTGTATTTTCGATGGTATCTTTAACAAATATTTATGTATAAACAGAAAACTCTGAGCCAAGTCGCCCTTGCAAAATATGCAATGTTTCATGTGTCTCAGTGCGTGTGTTTCAACTCTCGATTTTACGAAGGATACAGCAACAAGACTAAAATACGCCTATGCATAGAATATGATTAATTATTGGTGCTTCATAAGCAGAAGTTTGAAAAAATATTAACACAGAGATAGCCTGCTTTACTTGCGTTGTGCCCATTGAGCAAAAAAAAAACCCAGATAACATTTGTTTTCATTATTTGATCTTTCAACCTACGATCCCAGTGTCTCCGAAGGGGAAACTTTTCCTTTCGTTGTTGATTAAACGAAACGACATACGGATCTGAAACATAGACACTGGCACAGAGGGAATTGAACAGGATCTGAAGAGAGCGCATAGTAGCATGGAATGACGCGCGCTTTGAATTACACGAAGAGACACAGAGAGAGACGTACGGTGGTTCAGTGAACAAAGCAATAAGTATAACCCGTAAAAACAAAGTTTTTCACTATAAATCCTTTATATGCGTGGCAGCGAACTTAAAAATATATTCGCCTGTGGAGGACGCGGGGATCGATCCCGCGACCTTTGGCATGGGAAGCGAGGGCGCTACCAACTGCGCTACTCCGCCACGGCCTGTGGAGGGGTTACGCTCTGGGCTCTTATACTGTGACGTTCAGCCAAAGCGATGAATGAGTTCTATTTGAATATATGTAAAATATTTTTTTTGCCTAAAAAGTGTACAATTTTGGGAATTTTTTTTCACAAACATTAATTGTCTGGCACAACGAGTCTGTGTGGAAAATGTCAGCTTGATTGGATCACGGGAAGTGGGTTAAAAAACGACCGAAAGATTTGCACGGTCGTAAGCAAGCAAGCACGCAAGCAAGCAAGCATGCGAACTTAATATAAAGGATTTAAAAATTGGAGAAGATCGCATTGAATATTGAGAAAAGTGAGTGGGCTTGGGCATTATACATCGCTTGAAGGGATGCTGGCTAAGGCATGAGGCTAGTGAAGGAATGGAAGCCAAAAGAATGAAAGAGCAACCACCAGACAGATGGCGCAATGAAATTGGTTCATGTGCAGGAGTGAGGTGGATTGTGGGATTCCAGGATCATGAGGGATGATCATGGTGTGGAGCAAACGTCATCCAGCAGTGGAAAAAATAGTGGCTGATATTGCTGATAATGACAATTTCCACATGTGCTTTTTAATTCGAATTATGCGTGTGTCTATATATGTATATATAGTGTAGTGGTTAACGCCCTATGAACCCGGCGATCCGAGTTCGATTCCCGCTCATGGCCAACACCGGTAACGATTTTCTGAAACCGGTCCTCCCCCCCCCCCCGCCGTCGTCTGCTGTACCAGCCTTCATAGGTGCTCGCTAACAGCACACTTTCCCCAACAGACTGGTCAAGCTATACGGGGGAGCTTTGTTTTGGTTTATAGCCACGGAAGGGTGGTAAAGCAACACACTTCACATCAATTTGCCCAAGGGCAGGACATTTATAAAGACAACGTTGCTCTAGTTTAGCCTGATAGACTCTTAAGCAAGTGCTGTTAGTGAGCACTCATTAAGGGTAGCACCGTGAACACCCAGCTGCTTTTGTGCCTCCGTTGCGAACACACACAGCGAACGACTGCTCACGTTTGGCTGAGCCATCTTATTGGAGGCACTTGTAAGCTTTGAACATCAAATTGCCATTGACCTGCACAGTTGACAGTCGCTGTCTAGCCAGGTGGCTCAGTGGTAGAGCGAGTGGCTCGCGAATGACAAAAGGTTGGGAGATCAAATCCGGATGCCATCATCCTTTCTGGGATCAATTAAATGGAGTTTCGCTTCAGTGGAGGCATTCAGCAGTGGATAGACTCATCCTTGGCAATGGAATGTGGAATTTACACCACTGGCTCAGGGCTCTAAAGAGGAGTTGAGCACTGCTTCCAGCGCGCATTTGAGCAAGACATTACAGAAGGTTGATTCAAAGCTGAATTGCAAGAACTGTAGCACATTTCACGGACAACTGCGGCACATCTCTCTTATGCAAGTCTTGGGCAGTGACTCCCCACCTTTATGGACACGTGGACCACTGTAAACCTTCATCAGCCTCTCCTTTACTATGGGAACCTCATTTGCCAGTAAAAATATGATAATTGTTTTTTTACCCTTCTATCTGGCAACAAAACTGACACCTTTTTACAAGGAGTCATGTTTGCATAGACCGCAATACCTGCAATCATAATACAAACAAAAGAACATAACTCTGTTAATGTGCACTGTCCCTTGAAGTTGATTGGTCCACACCCGAGACAGCTTTCCTTAGAGCCTAGTCTCACATGGGTTGGACCAGATGACGCCAAAAGGCGCGTGCGCGTGCGCCTTTTGGCGTTATGTTCTTTTGTTTGTATTATGACTGCAGGTATTGCGGTCTATGCAAACATGACTCCTTGTAAAAAGGTGTCAGTTTTGTTGCCAGATAGAAGGGTAAAAAAAACAATTATCAGCCTCTCCTTTTTCATGTTGGGTATTTGAGAGGGAGCTTTACGAAGCATTTTAACCGGACGCCAGAGTCCGGCGAGCCCATTCGATGGCTTCAGGCAGTGTCCCGTGACTGTCGTGTGAGCACACGACGGCCGGTGGTCGGCTGCGTGACGATCCAGACGGCGCGAACACCGCCGTGACAATAATGACAATAAAAGGCGACTCTTTAGTTGTCCATTTGTGGCATGCGGTCAAAGAAATACGACGTTTCGTGAAAAAAATATTGTATTGCCAACAGACCCACGAGACCAATGCCTACGTATGGCCTTGCAGGGACCAAACCATCAGTGCTTTATTCCAGCGGGCACCATTTTAATAGGGCACCATTCCGTTAGGGCAGAGCGAGCAGCAGTGCTGTTCTCCTTTATGAGCCGGCCGCTGTGCATGAGAGAGAGGGACAACAGGCATCTCTGTGCCGCCGACAGAATCCGCCGGCTGTGCTGGAGCTCATGCAGCTTGTGGAAGACTTCGTTCACGTGGTGGGCTCGGGAATTAAGCTCTTCAGCGACATGTACATCGCCAAAGATAACATCGGTAAGTCAAGTGGGCATTTAATATGCGGAACCTTTTGTGCTGACAGTAACGCATCCATTTGCTGAGCCATTACGCCGTGAATAATGTATTCTGGACACATACTTCATTGAATGCAACAACTGTTCGTTTTTTTAAGTCTCTTTCTTGAAAATTCCATTTTCCACTTCGGGTGGAAAGGTATTCTTTCTTATAACTATATCAATTATAACACTGAATTGAAAGTTTAGGAGACCACTTAAAATCAATATCTATTTACTGAAAACCTTTACAAAAGTTTTACGGTCGCATGGTAAAAATATAATTTTTAAAAATACACCCTCGGGCCTCTTTGTATTCGACATATGGCCTGAACATAAGTGCTTGTCATAATGGGATGCTTTATAAACAGCAATTATTTGACCGCGCTGCGGCGTATCCATTTGTTTACAGTGCATGGATCGTGTTGAAGAATTATCACAATCAGATTCGAGTGAAATGTTACTTTTTGCCGTCTCGTTGGGATTGTCTCTCATTATGCCCCATTTGTCTTTACTTACTTGGATGTGAGGAGCATATGCAATTAATAATTATCCGACGCACGATTCAATGGACGCATCATGAGCATAAGAATGCATTTTAATCAATTCACAAGTTACGTGCTGAGTGAATACATTATATTTTGATTGAGTCTGGAAACCCACGCGGCTTGCATTACCCAAGTGTCATTAGTTGATCGGATTACAATGCAGCCCGGACTCTTCTTGTAGCCTATACCTGAGCGTAAGTGTACGATACTTCAACTGCAGATGCTTTATTGGATTCTGCAGCATTAGCGATTGCCACACAAGGCTTGTTCTATATTTATTACTGATGCCTGTGGCAATGGAACGCTGTTTATATAGCTTTGTTTCTACTCTGCACTCAATCGAGCATTCCACATTGGATATCCTCTATCAATGTGGCCATGTACTCACTTGAATATAATCAACTTATATTGAAGTATTTTTCACTAAGCCGAGCAGTGCACTGTGGAAGTGGTGAGGGTTGGTGTATACCGGTACAGCAATCGGACTAATCTACATCTTGATTTAAAGCTTTCGTGACTGCAGGGATTCATATTCTTGGTTCTTTCGGTAAAGTCACGTAGAAGGGAAACAATAAAATAATAAAAATATAAAACAATAACGTTAAGAAAAAAACGCCACTTTGTTCTAATTTTCTTGCTGTGTTTTTCACACCTGATGATGATTGCTTGTGTTGCAGTCGAAATGTGGTGAGAATTGTATTGTTTTATATTTGTATTATTTTATTGTTTCCCTTCTACGTGACTTTACCGAAAGAACCAAGATTATAATCTACATCTGTTTCAACCTGCACAGGGATCGAGCGTTTCCCTCTTGCCCACTTTGGTTTTATCCCGGTGCTCCTCACACTTGTATGTATGTACGTTGAACTTATTTTACACCGTGCGTAGCCAACCATGCTCATCGAAGGTGCAGACGGAAGGACAACAAACTCAACACAAGAAGCAGTTCTAAAGAAATGAGTTTTCAATCTAGATTTAAAAGTGCATAGCTCCAGTGGCGAAAGCAAGAGAGTTTCTGAGGGCCACAGAAGCACATCTGTAAGAGCGAGATGCAGTGACCGTCTTTGTTCGATGGCCAGCCAAAAGACACTGCGAGGGTGACCGGAGGTCACGTGATGATGGTGTATGCTTCTTTACGAGATCAGCAAGGTATTGGGGTTCATATGGCTCAGCGTGGCATTCCTGGATAAATAAGTAAATTATTATATATTATGATGCTCAAGAAGGCAGAATTTTTTTTTACATTGTGTATCTTTAAACTAGAGGACATATATGAATATACTGTACTTTATCCACTGATTTAAATGTAAATCATTAAGGAAGCACAGGCATACCTGTGGTCTAAAGGTTAAGGCTTTAGGAGATAATTGTGAAATCTTTAGGGCTTAACATCTGAAATGCGCTGGTCACGAGGTAAGTTTCACGGGCAAAATGGTCCGTTAAAAAAAAAAACTGAATAATTTATAAACCAATTTATTTTCCCTGTAGGTCGCCTACATGCGCAAGTGAATTATTCTGTAAAAATGCTAAATACGCACGGCGCATTTGCATATTTTGGTTTGAATCATAAACTTTCCCATGTGCAAGGGTTTCCAAAGCATTTTAACGCGTAGCAGGCTTTCGCGACCAATATCATCGATAATAGAGGTTTTTGGGTAAATATATAAATGTGTCGTTAAAACCCGCCACCACCCGACACAGCCAATTAGTTGGTGGGTTTTATCGACACATTTACATATTTACGCGATCTAACCCAAAAACCTCTATTATGGATTTCCAAAGCACGTTTAGTCAATTTACTGGACCAATTAAATGTGTCTTTGTTCAAATTCAGAGCAAATTTATTTCAGCGTTTGTTTGCATTGTTGTTATAATGGTATTTATGCATTAACTAGTCATTAGAATTACAGTACGAGCAAACATTTTAGGAGGGTGCTTGCGCACTCCACAACGATGTTTGGTCATGACAATGGGTTTGTGTTTATTGAGTAATAGCAGAGGACACACGAAAACCTCTCTAACATGGATTCAATTAAAATCCAGAATTGGAAGTAAGCAGGAAGGCTACCCAAACGAATTAATTACTATTCGCGTTTGCACTGTGTGCCGAGCCAACGAACATCGTCGTCGTCGGCACGGTGAAGCGCCGGTAGTCCACCGTCATAACATGTCAGTGGACAGTCGTTCACGATGCGTGACATCGTCGGTGGTGCTCCACAACTGCAGTAGCCTGACCCCATCGGACGAGGTTGACCCGGCAGCGACCTTGTCCCGTCCGGAATCGTTTCAGCGTTACTAATAAATTAAACATTAATCTAAATCTCTCGAACTGGAGCGCCGTTTGCACTGGAGCTAGCCACCGTGCAAGTAGGATATGTACTCTTAGGTTTTTTCGGTAAAGTCACGTAGGTAAAAAATAAAATTAAAATTACTAAAAGTAAAATAAAGTAGAATATGGTTCGGGTATATGCGAACAGCTTTACTGATCTGGTGTATGAAACGTGATGATCCCAAGCCCTTGGAGGCCTCGTTCATCCACGTGCATGCTGTGAGTTGATCTTTGTTTAACCGAGTGAAAACACAAGAGACTGGGGGATAAGTCGCATTTGCACGAGTCTCACTTATTTCACGAATAAACAAAATGCACTCTTCAAGGCCATCAGGAAATCTCTTAAGCCGCACACATCCAGCGGAGCTCAGCCATCCCAACCCCGCTTCATGGGAGGTCGCATTACAGTGACGATTTTGTGTGTTATGAAATTGTGAATATTAAAATCATCGGTATGCAGGTATTGCTATAAATGGTTTTCAGTGTTCAGTCAATATTTTACGAGTTAATTATATGTAAATGTAATGAAAATGTGGTTTTATGATTTTTATTTTATTTGCTGTATGCCAGACGTCACCCATTACTGCATAGGCTCTCACCCAAATGAGCCCCCGGCTTTGAGAGAATTTATACGTACTCAACTTAATTATTCAGTAATTGAAGTAAAATTCAACTGAATGCAGTGTTTTAAAATCACAGCACCAACACGCATGCTGTTTGGGGGCAATGCTATGAGGGCACTTGACCCACACAATAAGAATGTTGCGGGTCAAAAAAAATCGGGAATGGTCATAAACTCCGATTAGCATGGTTGGCTCTGTATGGTGCACACGAAGTTCAACATACGTATGTGCATAGACTCACACGGAGACCCATACACTCACACAGTGACTCGTCGACTCACACAGATGCCCATAGTTTGTACGATGAGAAAGAGGTTCAACATACACGTCCATAATAGAACTCAGCCCATCGTCCCTCAAGGGTTGATTAAATGAGTCCTATGTTTGTTGGACATCACCAGTGTTTGTCCCACCAGTAGGAATGTGAGATTTCCAACCCTGGCTTCAGGCATGCCGACAGAGATGAGCACCGAGTGAAACTCGTTAGAGCAGGACTTAGAAGCAGAATAGATCCTTGATTTAAGATTAGAATAATGACTATTTGAATTTCCAATTTTTGTTTCGTGCAGCTCGTGTAAAATAATATTCAATTTTACAACTTCTCCAATTGCTATGAAAAACAATTACAAGCATGGAGCAGGTATAGACATTTGAACAAATTGCACTCATGAGAAGGTGATTAAGAATTCAAATGCACAGCCATTAACCCTTCTGCATTCGCGGCAAAATAATGTAATAAAAACACATCTAGAAAGACTTGTTGAGTTCCAGGTTTGGTGTAGCAGTGCACTTGGCTGGTTAGGATGTTTACCTTTAATTTGCAGAGACACGTCAAAGGCTTGGTTTTAATAAAGAACCACATCTGTTGGTGCTGTGCTGAATTACGTGACAACATTCGGGGAGCTATAACAAATGAACTTTAATTTCCAAAAAGGTGGACCAATCCATTTATCTTTATTGTGCGGTCATGACTAATAGTTACGCAATGGGCTTAATCACCTCATTAATACTCGCAGATTTATTTTGTTTGTGCCAAAATGAACGGCGAGGGCAATGATTGTGAAAAAGTACCTTTTTAAAAAACATTCAAGGAAGGCATTATGCAAAATTGAGAGCAGTTAATGACGTGTTCTGCCAGCCGCTGGATTCATGTTTCCAAGCACACGGCTGCGAGTGCGAACCTCCGAAGTTGCTAATTGCCCCGAAAGTCGATCTCTTTCAGGCCTTTGAAACTAATATTGCCGTTCGTCTCGTAAATCAACGAACCCGCGGTTTTACTTTCGCGAATGCCATCATTTTAAAACGTGGCATTGAGAGAGTACAACCGCTTTACCTGGGTGCACTTGCGTTTACGTATACGCGAATAATTGATTGTGATTATTCTCTATTGCCTTCACCAGCCTGAATGTAGATAAAGCATGCTGTAATGGTAGTCAAGGCCGCGAGCTGCAGTTAAACCGCCATAGCTGCCCGATGCTATTGC